TTCTTTCTCGATTTGTGGCTAAACTGCACAATCTACACACATGTGTTCAAAGATTATGTTGAAGAATACTCGTTACGCAATATGGTCCTAATGTATGATTTTTCGATACATCTACTGCATCCCCCGAAAACGTTTGCTTACATAGTGAATTCGGAATTTCGGTGTTATTTTTTTAATTTTTCTTATAATCGAAAGTCGCGGAAGTCGTAATTTTGCTTCGTTGTACATTGAATATTAAATTACATTTGAACCGATTTATATAAAGTTTTACAAACATCATTCTACATTCACAAATTAGCGTGCAGTTTACACGAAATCGGAGGACAATATATTAAATATACATACCTAAATCTAAACCTACTTACTTACATAGCTGGCTTGTGACAGAACTTTCGTTCCATAAGCCGAGCTTAAAAAATATTTCCAAGCGCTTCGGTCTTTTGCGCAGTTATTCCAATTTGAAAGACCATATTCGGCAATGTTGTCTTCCACATGTTGTCTTTCCATCTTATTCGTGGTCTTCCCCTTCTGCGTGAACCATCAGCTGGTTCGCTTTTATATGCCTTTTAGGCTGGGACATCTTCACCCATTCTCACAACATGACCTAGCCAACGTAGTCGTCTAACAATGCCGATGTCCGACAATAGCTGGTATAACTCATGGTTCATTCGACGGCGATATTCACCGTCAACGCAGATCGGTCCATTGATCTCTCGGAGAATTTTTCTCTCAAACACTGCAAGAGCTGTCTCATCTGCTTGCGTAAGTACCCATGCTTCAGATCCATATAATATCACGGGTAGTATCAGCGTCTTGTAGAGTGTGAGTTTGGTCTGGCGGGAAGTAGCCTTGCTTTTGAGTTACTTGCTCAGGCCATAATAGCATATGTTGGCCAACACTATCCTTCTCCGAATTTCAAAACTGATATCATTCGTTTTGTTTATGGCGGTACCAAGGTATATAAAATCTTTCACTACCTCGAAGATGTAGTTCTCAAGTTCCACAGTTGGTCCGAGTCTACTGGACGTCTTCCGCGTTGATACCATCAGCTTGGTATTCTCGCCGTTTACTGCTACACCCATTTTGGCAGATTCCTTCTCAATTTGTTCAAAGATGGCAATTACCGCTCGCAATGTTCGACCCATTATTTCGATGTCGTCGGAGTAGGAGAGTAACATATGCTGTTTGGTGTACAGAGTGTCATTTCTGTTTACATTAGCATCTCGTATGACCTTTTCCAGCAGGATGTTAAAAAGGTCACACGACAAACTGTCACCTTGTCTGAATCCTCATTCGGTATTTAAGGGCTCCGAGAAGTCCTTTCCAACTTTAACTGCTGATCTTGTGCCAGTTAAAATTATTCTGCATAGCCGAATTAATTTTGCAAACGCAGACATTGCGATATTGAAATCTAAACCTGTTTCTATAAAGTTTTGAAGATGCCATTTTGCACCCAATTCGGTACGCTATACAATTTTTTTCTCTACATAAAACTCAGAGTGGCACAATTTTTAAACCCTCCCCCAATAAAGATTATGAGGATATACCTAGACAGTTCAATATCCTCTTTTGAATTAATAAAGCTTAAAGCATTCAATCATAGTCGTCTGGTTTTAGTAAAATATCATTACTAATGCTACTTCATGTTGAGGAAGTTAAAGCAGATCTAATTCCAAGTAAAGAACTCTATGTATCTTCGACCACAATGAAGAGGTTGTACAAGCCAATAACTAAAAGTGTACGGTAGTCTTATTTAAGAACGTAAGAAGTATAAGTATTCTGCCTCAGATCTGCTTTTCTCCCGAAACTACTGTTCTATACATTGACGTAAGTCTTAACTGAATTTCAATAACGAAACCTAAATTGAAAAGAAAAACAGTAAGGAAAGTAGTAAAGTCGGATGGGGCCGACTATATGAAACCCTTCACCACTTTGGGTATATTCAACAGATGAATCCTAAACGACGATCCATAAAAATGTCATTCTGCAACCGATACTAAATTTGGTCAGATATAGAAGCTATATCTAAATCTGAACCGATTTTCACGAAACTTAACACACATCATTCTAGACTAATTCATTACGCTGTGCCAAATCCCGTGCAAATCGAAAGATATATAGAGACTTTGGTTTACATTAAATCGGAAGAATATATATGGGAGCTATATATAAATTTTGACTTAACACACACCATTCTACACATAGTTTAGTACGGTGTACCGAATTTCGTGTCAATCGAAGGATATATGTGACTTTAGTGCATCATTTACCTAAAATCGGACGAAAATATATATTAGAGCTATCTCTAAATCTGAACCGATTTTCAGGAAACTTAACACACTTCATACTAGAGCTAATTCATTACGCTGTGCCAAATTTATGCAAATCGAAAGATATATAGGGACTTTGGTGTACCAATTGCATTGAATTGGACGAAAATATATATGGGAGCTATATCTAAATATGAACCGATTTTCTCGAATCTTACCACACATTATTTTACACCCAATTCAGTACCCTATACCAAATTTCGTGTAAATCGAAAGATATATAGGGGCTTTGGTGCACCATTTACATAAAATCGGACGAAACTATATATGGGAGCTATATCTAAATCTGAACCGATTTTCACGAATTTTTGCACACATCATTCTAGACTCTATTCAGTGCGCTGTACCAAATTTCGTGCAAATCGAAAGACATATAGGGACTGCGGTACACCAATTACATAAAATCGGACGAAAATATATATGGGAGCTATATCTAAATCTGAACCGATTTTCAGGAAACTTAACACACTTTATACTAGAGCTAATTCATTACGCTGTGCCAAATTTCATGCACATCGAAAGATATATAGGAACTTTAGTGTACCATTTGCATTGAATTGGACGAAAATATATATCGGAGCTATATCTAAATCTGAACCGATTTTCAGGAAACTTGAAACACATCCTTCTATACCAAATTCATTACGCTGTGCCAAATTTCGCGCAAATCGAAAGACATTTAGAGACTTTGGTTTACATTAAATCGGAAGAATATATATGGGAGCTATATATAAATTTTGACCGATTTTCACGAAACTTAACACACACCATTCTACACATAGTTTAGTACGGTGTACCAAATTTCGTGCAAATCGGAAGATATATTGGACTTTAGTGAATCATTTAACTAGAATCGATTTTCAGGAAATTTAACACATATCATTCTACACCTAATTCAGTACGCTGTACCAAATTTCGTTCAAATCAATAGGGTTCGTCCTTGGGCCAAATAAGTGAACTGTGTCAAATTTCATCCAAATCGAATCACAAATGAGACCTGTACTTTCTTTACAATTTAACATGGACGGACGGACGAACATGGATGGACGGACGGACATGCGTAAATCAGAAAGTGATCCTTTTGCCTATTACAAACATATGCACAAAGACATAATACCCTACCCCGAACAATACTTTTTGTACCCTCCACCAAGTGGTGGACATTCAAAATACCTAAACCCGATCGGGACTTGCAGAAGAAAACGAAAAATCAAACAACAAACATACCCAAAATCTCGCGTGACGGTTGAAAAGGATGTCTAAAATCCCTAAATAGTTGGTTATACGAAAACGGAGACATATATTGATAATTTGTGGTAGTGAGATTCGATTTTCTACCAACTAGAACACAAAATACATAACCGAACTTCTTATAATCTCCACCATGTGATGAGCATTCAAAATGTCCTAAGTCGATCGGGAGATTTATATGCGGACTATGTTATTTCTTTATTTGTTAGTACCGAATATCGAAAAATGAAAAAAAACTTGTATGTGGAAATTATATCAAAACTTGGACATAGAACATTTTTCACAAAAAAATTGTTCTACCCTCCAATGGGGAAATCAAGCAAAAACCTTAAAAATTATAACCTGCTACCCGGAAACTTCCGCCAATTTTGTTAATTTTAGGTAGGTAGATTGTCTACTCACTGAGAATACAAAATAAAAATTACAGCTAATTTGGGCCAATATTGATAATTGTTCGTGGGGACATTCATTCTGGAGAAATTTGATCCGGAAAAAATTACTAATATCAATTCTACTGACGAAAGAGATCAAATGTAGGAGGCACATAAAAATGTATATTGGAGTCTACACATTTATTTTAAAATTAAACATTGCCTAAATAATGCCTTCGTCTTCTACCGTAGAAACTGTCAGTTGTGCAGATTCCCTTCTTCGTTATACAAAGCTTCTCTTTCGAACTCCTTATGCAAATAAATAATCTCTTGTTGGCACGTTGTGTTATGTTTAATCAAATAAAAGATTTTTAATGCCAGTAATTAGCAAACATCTGGAAATAATGCGAATTTATCTAAATGTTGCCAAGAGTAACTCTAATGCCAATAAATGAAAGGAAATCCCTGAACACAGTGGTATTGATAGCCAAAGTAGGTAAATTTTGAATAAACTAAAAATAAATCGCTACTTGTATCCCATTCAAGTGAAATCAAGGAAAACTAAAATTATCTGTCATAAATATTTGATATCTACCCACTTCATTTAAAATCCTGAATATCAATTCTAAACATTTTTTAAGTAGGCGAAACAAGATAAAAATACTGTGACTATGCAGCAGATTTTTTACAAGGAATTTCTATAAAGTCGTTGGAAGCACTTGTGAACATTTACAGCTTAAGAAGCACAAAAAGAAGAAGTGCTGGAGAAAAAATCTACAACACCGACAAATAAATGCATTAGCATTAACTAAAGACAAGCGACTGCAAAGTGCACAAGTAAATGTTCTCGTTGTTAGGTAAATAACACCAGCAACAACAACATTCTTTCATTTAGTTAAAAGATAAAATCCTACAAAAAATAAATTTCAAACAGCTGTTGTAGTTCTCAGTACCAATGGATTGACATTTCTTTCAATTTAGTTTCTGGTTGTTATTTTACTTTCTGTATTTAATATGTTTTCTGAATTTTTTTCTTCTTTATTTTTAGATATTTTCCGTCGTTTTAGTGCTCGCTTCTGGCCCCATTCTCTGTTGGGACGTGGTGATGATGACAGCGATGAAAACTCTGGATCTGACACCTTTGGCATTTCGACCAATTTTGATCCTAAGAAGGGTAACACAACATCAACAGTAAAGGTTTGTGAACAAAAGGGGTTTGAAAGTGGTGTAACTGGCATTGGGACCTGACTCTCCGTATTTTTCAAATTGATTTATTAAAACCAGTGAGCGGAGCAGTATAGTCGGACGGGGCCGACCATGCGATACCCTACACAACTACCACGAACTCTAACTTTCTGAGGATGTTTATTCCGAGTCTGAGTAATATTTCGTGATATTTGCCCCCTCTTGTCCGATTAGAGGTTAACAACACCTCTTCCTTACTTTTTTCGAATATTCAGTACAATCCTTCTATTTACTTGTCCAGATTACCTTCACGGTAGGTTGTGTTGTGATTTTCGGATTATACTCTACTCGAAAACACACAAAAAATTATGTTTTCGGTCCATTTCATCCCAAAATTTTAATCTGATCATCACCGAAAATTGTAGGCGTTGTTCTTGACCATAACTGGAACTTCATGAAAAATTTCAAAGCCATCAGCGCGATATTTCTCCCTCTAATGTGGCAATGGGTTACTAAATAATATCTGAATACGTAGGCACCTGTAAATATTTGACTGTAACTCCCACATCTGAGTAGATACATCACTATATTTGGTATCAATTTAAAGGAAAACCACTCCTCTTGGATATGCTATCAACTCCTGGGGTCTACATCCTCCAGGAGTAAATATATATGCCATAGAATACAAATTTTGTCATTTTTCACACAAAAGTCAGGGTCCATTTGACCCGCTAAATATTGACCGATCTTTATCAAAACATGCATGCTTATTCTCTGGCCCGATCCCCTTCTCCATGCAAAAATTCGCGGTGTTTGGGCCATAATTGCGGCCTCTGGAACGACCAGAAAAACCGACAAAAATTTAGTATTTGGTCCATTTCATCCCCTAAATATTAACCGATATTTTCCAAAAACAATAGGGGTCTTCATTGACCAGAACCCATCCTACATGCAAAATTTCGTGAAGATTGGTCCATAACTGTGGCCTGTATCGTGTTTACAAATTATAATGGACAGGCGGACGGACGGACGGACGGACGGACACACATGTCTAGATCGACTCAGCTAGTCGAGATATGACGATCGGTATACTTAAAGGTGGGTCTAGGACCAATATTTCGCGGCGTTACAAACATTTGGGGCTGCACAAAGCTATAATACCCTGACAACATAGTTGTGTAGGGTATAAATATCGTTTAAGAGACCATAATAGGCGAGGATGTTTATACCCTACACAACTATGTTGTCAGAGTATTATAGCTTTGTGCAGCCCCAAAAGTTTGTAACGCCGCGAAATATTGGTCCTAGACCCACCTTTAAGAATACCGATCGTCATATCTCGACTAGCTGAGTCGATCTAGACATGTGTGTCCGTCCGTCCGTCCGTCTGTCCATTATAATTTGTAAACACGATACAGGCCACAGTTATGGACCAATCTTCACAAAATTTTGCATGTAGAATGGGTTCTGGCCAATGAAGACCCCTATTGTTTTTGGTAAAGATCAGTTAATATTTAGGGGATGAAATGGACCAAATACAAAATTTTTGTCGGTTTTTCTGGTCGCTCCAGAGGCCGCAATTATGGCGCGAATATCGCGAAATTTTACATGGAGAAGGGGATCGGGCGAAAGAATAAGCATGCCTGTTTTGATAAGGATCGGTCAATATTTAGCGGGTCAAATGGACCCCGACTTTTGTGTGAGAAATTACAAATTTTGTATTATATTGCTTATATATTTGCCCCTGAAGGACATAGACCCGAGAAGTTGATTGTATATCCAAGAGGAGTTGTTGACCTTTAAATTGATACCAATTATATGGTCGTACGTACTCAGATGTGGGAGTTACACATAAATATTTACAGGTGCTTATGTACTGAGATATTATTTAGTAACCCATTACCACACAATAGGGCGGAAATATGGCGCTGGTCGCTCTGAAATTTTCCAGTTGTGGTCAAGGACAACGCCTAGTATTTTCGGGGATGATCAGATAATAATTTTGGGATGTATTGGACTGAAGACTTAGTTATACCCTACACAACTATGTTGTCAGGGTAATATAGCTTTGTGCAGCCCCAAAAGTTTGTAACGCCGCGAAATATTGGTCCTAGACCCACCTTTAAGTATACCGATCGTCACATCTCGACTAGCTGAGTCGATCTAGACATGTGTCCGTCCGTCTGTCCGTCTGTCCATTATATTTTGTAAACACGATTCAGGCCACAGTTATGGATCAATCTTCACGAAATTTTGCATGTAGGACCGGTTCTGGCCAATGAAGACCCCTATTGTTTTTGGCAAAAATCTGTTGATATTTAGGGGATGAAATGGACCAAATACTAAATTTTTGTCGGTTTTTCTGGTCGCTCCAGAGGCCGCAGTAATGGTCCGAACATCGTGAAATTTTACATGGAGAAGGTGATCGGTCCGAAGAATAAGCATGCCTGTTTTGATAAAGATCGGTCAATATATAGCGGGTCAAATAGACCATGACTTTTTAGTGAAAAATTACAAAATGTTTATTCTGGGACGTATATACTTGATCCTGAAGGACATATACTCGAGATGTTGATAGTATGTCCAAGATGAGTTGTTGACCTTCATATTGATACCAATTATATGTCTGTATGTACTCCGATGCGGGAGTTATACGTAATTAAGTAAAGGTGACTATGTGCATATTATTATCGCTTTGAAATTGTAAATGATGTTCCGATTATGGTCAAGGACGACGCTTATAGTTTTCGGTGAAGTTGAGATTTCATTCAGGGGGTGCAATGAACCGAAAATTTTAATTTTGTCTGAATTTCTAGTCGCTTTGGAGGCAATTATTATATACAGAACATCATATATTTTACAAGGTGAAGGGGAACTGACCAAATACTTAGAGCGGCTGTTTAGATGATGATCGGTCAATTTTCCGAGGGTCAAATCAACCAAAACCTAAAGTGACCAATTTCTTATTGTATGGCGTAAAAATTCTCTCCAAGAAAAAACATTTTGGAAAATATTCAAGACTTAGAAATAGGAGTTCTTGATCTATATTCTGTACAAAGGGGTCAATTATCACGAAATATTGCTCAGGCTCAGAATATAGAACCGTCGAAAGTTTGCTTTTCGTGGTAGTTGTGTAGGGTATCATATGGTCGGCCCCGTCCGACTATACTGCTCCGCTCACTGGTTTTTAAATATTTTTTCAGGGACTATCCATAGGCGTGGATTTTTTAAAAATATTTTTTCAGGAAGTATGAATAGGCGTGGTTTGTTTTAAAATATTTTTTTTTCAATTGGCTTGGATTATTCAACAATATTTGTTTCAGAGACTATCATAGGGTTCGACATTTTAAAACCAGTAAGGAAAGACGTAAAGTCGGACTGGGCCGACTATATGATACCTTTCACCACTTTGGGTATATTGTACATATGTATCCTTCCAATTGCATGCCAATCGAAGAAATATACTCATGTCTTTCTGCAACCTATGATAAATTTAATGCCATTCGGGCAGATATAGAGTCGTCTGCGTACCATGGGACTCATTTATGGAAAACGATTTAAAGCAAAATTGATACACGCTATTCGGTACGTCGCACTGTCAAAAATGTAATTTCAATCAGACACCCGTCCGAAATACATGTGGAAGCCATTCTACAAAACGCAATAACGTCATTCAAGTCTCAATTTGATACGTTGTGCAAAATTTCGTGTTAATCGGACAAACATTAGGAATTTGGTGCACCATTAAGGTAAAATCGGACGAATATATATGTATAGGTGGGAGCTATATCCAAATTTAAACCGATTTTCCCGAAACTTAACACACATCGTTCTAGACTTCATTCAGTACGCTGTGCCAAATTTCGTGCAAATCGAAAGATATATAGGGACTTTGGTGCACCATTTACATAAAATCGGACGCACTACATTAAATTGGGTGCACTATTAACCTTAAAGCGGACAAAAATATATGGGCGCTATATTTAAATCTGAACCGTTTTTCACGAAATTTAACACACAACGTTCTAGACTTAATTCAGTACGCTTTGCCAAATTTCGTGCAAATCGAAGGATATATTGGGACTTTGGTGCACTATTCACCTCAAATCGGACGAAAATATATATGGGAGCTATATCTAAATACTGATCCGATTTTCAAGAAATTTTACACACATCATTCTAGGCTCAATTCATTACGCTATGCCAAATTTCGTGCAAATCGGAAGATATGTGGGGACTTTGGTACATCATTTACATGAAATCGGACGAAAATATATATGGGAGCTATATCTAAATCTGGACCGATTTTCAGGTAACTTAACACACATCATTCTAGACCTAATTCATTACGCTATACCAAATTTCGTGCAAATCGAAGGATATATTGGGACTTCCGTACACCATTTACATAATATCGGACGAAAATATATATGGGGGATATATCTAAATCTCGGCCGATTTTTCCCAATTTCAATAGAGTTCGTCCTTGGGCCAAATAAGTGACCTATGACAAATTTCATCCATTCCGGATTATAAATACGACCTGTACTTTGTTTACAATTTAACATGGACCGACAGACGGACGGACAGAGATACATAAATCGACTTAAAAAGTGATACTATGCATATTCTCAAAAGGAACCATGTGCCCATCTCGTTTGCTTTGGTACACCATTTACATTAAATCGGACGAAAATATATATGGGGGCTATATCAAAATCTGGGCCGATTTTTCCCAATTTCAATAGGGTTCGTCCTTGGGCCAAATAAGTGACCTACGCCAAATGTCATCCAATTCGGATTATAAATGCGACCAGTACTTTGTTTAAAATTTAACATGCACACACAGACGGACGGACAGACATGCATAAATCGACTTAAAAAGTGATTCTATGCATATTCTCAAAAGGAACCATGTGTCCATCTCGTTTCCTTTTGCCTGTTACAAACATATGCACAAAGACAGTGTTCCGCAGTGTGGTGAAGGGTATAAATATTTCTTTCATGGACTATCATAGGCGTGGATTTTTAAAGAATATTTGGTTCAGGGACTCAAACAAGGCATGGATTTTTAGAGAATATTTTTTTGAAGGACTCAAACAAGGTGTGGATTTTTAAAGAATATTTTTTTCAAGGACTCAAACAAGGTGTGGATTTTTAAAAAATATTTTTCAAGGACTCTAATTAGGCTAGGATTTTTAAAGAATATTTTTTCAATGACTCAAACAAGGCGTGAATTTTTAGAGAATATTTCTTTCAAGGACTCAAACAAGGTGTGGATTTTTAAAGAATATTTTTTCCAAGGACTCAAACAAGGCGTGGATTTTTTAAAGAATATTTTTTCAAGGACTCTAAAAAGGCTTGGATTTTTAAAGAATATTTTCTTAGGTACTTAAAAAAGTTAGGATATTTTAAAGAATATTTTGTCAAGAACTCAGTCGAACTAATTAATTAAGGTCAAGGGAGACCTATGAATGTTACACAACTTTTAAATTTTGTATTGATTTCAAAAAAACGGATATTTAAATTTTCTTTTGGATAATTCCCCCAGGTTATCGATGGCCACAAGGTTGAGGTAAACGAAACGGTATATGGTGATGAGCACAGCGTCTTCAAGGTGCGTGTTGTCAATGTACGTCCCTTGGAAGATGGTGAAACTGTTGAGGAGACCGTTCGCACAGGTGGAGATGATGAGGACGCCGCTAAGAACGATAGACCTGTTACATCTAGCCCTGAACCGAACCAAGCCAAGAAGGAGACTGAACTAGATGACGAAGAGGATGATGATGATCGTCGTGAGCCCTTGGCCAAGAAACCCAATGATAATGAAATTGAACGCAACATTGATGATCCTGAGGTAAAATATTAATCAGAACGTCTTTGTTTTTTTTTTTTTGTCAAATATGAAGCAATGTTTGTATACTATTTGAGTTATGTATGTAGGAGTGTTTTGGTTTCTCTATTTTTTTAATTAATTATATTTTTTTGTAATTATTTCTCTTTGGAATGAGTTATTGGAATGCCTTTACGTTTAGTGGAAGTAGAAGGGGTTATGGTTTTCTGTACTTTTTCAAAATATTTTTTTTTCTGTAGCTCAATTAAATATAAAAATTAAAATGTATTTAATTTCTATTTATTATTGACCAAAAAAAAGTGAATATAAAATAAAAGCCAAATATTTATTTACAACAGAAACTACAACAAAAAACATATTAAAACAACTATCTAATGCGATTTTTTCTATAAATAATTATTAATTAAACAAAAAATCCATTGAACTCTAAACTAACAAATATAAATACTATTACAACAACAACCACTATTACTATATATAATACAATACTAATTAACACAATTTTATGATGATTATAAATATATTATTAATAATGTATATGAAAAAAAAAATTATATATTTTTAATTTTTGAAAATAATACCTAAACAAAAATTCCATAGAGGATTTTTTGTTTTTGTATAAACATTTGTAAATTTATAAATATATACTGCAATGCTTTAATTAATTGGCTTTATTAATTTTTATAATTTTTTCTTCTACTTCTGTTTCCTAAATACTAACAAAATTTCAAATTGTACATTTAATTGGGATGTTAAAGTTGTTTTAAATTTTATTGCAATGAACTTAAGAAGTAAAAAAAAAAAAAATTTGCATCCTCCCAAGGATAATTTTTTTTTTATTTTAAATTTATTATAAATTTTTATTCGTATCCTTTTTTTGTTTCCTTAACTAACCATATTATTTCTGTAATGTATTTTACTCATTTATATAATTGTCTTTATCTCAATTACCATAATATTGTAAATTTGTTTTGTATTTTCAAACATTTATCAATAATAAAAATAAAAAATGCTGCAAAAATAAATATTTATTGAGTATTTCTTCATGACTTCTTGTATATATTCGCTTAAAAATAAAACTGGAAAATAAATTTGTATATATGTATATTCTAACTGTTTTTTACTATCCCTTTCTTTGCTTCTGCCTCTGCTGCTGCCCATGTTCTTTAATTTAACTAGATTTAAGGATTAATATAATTTAAAACAATTAATTTAATAACCAGTGAGCGGAGCAGTATAGTCGGACGAGGCCGACCATATGATACCCTACACAACTACCACGAAAAGCGCACTTTCGGCGGTTCTATATTCTGAGCCTGGGCAATATTTCGTGATATTTGCACCCTTTTTACCGATTATAGATCAACAACTCCTTTTCTGAGTCTTGCATATTTTCCAAAATGTTTTTTCTTGAAGTGAATTTTTAATTTTTTTTGACCCTCGGAAAATTGACCGATCATCATCTAAACAGCCGCTCTAAGTATTTGGTCAAATATCTTCACCTTGTAAAATATGTGATGTTCTGTATATAATAATTGCCTCTAGAGCGACTAGAAAATCTGACAAAATTAAAGTTTTCGGTTCATTGCACCCCCCGAATGAAATCTCATCTTCACCGAAATCTATAAGCGTCGTCCTTGTCGCTCTAGAGGCATAATCGGAACTTCATGTACAATTTCAAAGCGATCAGCGCGACATTTTCGTCGTCTAATGGAGTAATAGTAATAATATGCACATAGTCACCTTTATTTAATTACGTATAACTCCCGCATCGGAGTACATACAGCCATATAATTGGTATCAATTTGAAGGTAAACAACTCGTCTTGGACATACTATCAACATCTCGAGTATATGTCCTTCAGTAGCAAGTATGTACGCCCCAGAATAAACATTTTGTAATTTTTCACACAAAAGTCAGGGTCCATTTGACCCGCTAAATATTGTCCGATCGTTATCAAAACAGGTATTATAAATTTTGGACCCAATCCCCTTCTCCATGTAAAATTTCTTGATATTCGGACCATAACTGCGGCCTCTGGAGCGACCAGAAAAACCGACAAAAATTTAGTATTTGGTCCATTTCATCCCCTAAATATTAACCGATCTTTATCAAAAACAATAGGGGTCTTCATTGGCCAGAACCCATCCTACATGTAAAATTTCGTGAAGATTGGTCCATAACTGTGGCCTGTATCGTGTTTACAAATTATAATGGACAGACGGACGGACGGACACACATGTCTAGATCGACTCAGCTAGTCGAGATATGGCGATCGGTATACTTAAAGGTGGGTCTAGGACCAATATTTCGCGACGTTACAAACTTTTGGGGCTGCACAAAGCTATAATACCCTGACAACATAGTTGTGTAGGGTATAATTATGTTTTCGGTCCATTTCATCCCAAAATTTTAATCTGATCATCACCGAAAATTGTAGGCGTTGTTCTTGACCATAACTGGAACTTCATGAAAAATTTCAAAGCCATCAGCGCGATATTTCTCCCTCTAATGAGGTAATGGGTTACTAAATAATATCTGAATACGTAAGCACCTGTAAATATTTGACTGTAACTCTCACATCTGAGTAGATACATCACTATATTTGGTATCAATTTAAAGGCCAACCACTCCTCTTGGATATGCTATCAACTCCTGGGGTCTACATCCTCCAGGAGTAAATATATATGCCATAGAATACAAATTTTGTCATTTTTCACACAAAAGTCAGGGTCCATTTGACCCGCTAAATATTGACCTATCTTTATCAAAACATGCATGCTTATTCTCTGGCCCGATCCCCTTCTCCATGCAAAAATTCCGCTAAATGTTAACCAATTTAAAATCGATTTACAAATGACCATCAGTTCATCTGTGTGCCTGGCTGGGTGGTGCGAACGATAACTCTCATAGGGAGTAACCAATTTCGTCCAAATTTTGCAAATTCTTAATGTTTCTCTCAAACTTAAATCCAGTTCGAAGATGGAGCTCATCGTCGGTACACTTCTACTGATACATCCCACTCAATATAATATTCCACTCTTTATAAAGCATATGTTGAAACTCTAATTTATTATTAATATTCAAATAATTTTGAAATTTTACAAGAAAGTATATGATTATACCTTTCATATGACAACACTTGTATTTGAATACCTTACTTACATACTTAGCTGGTTTGTTACAGAACGGTTGTTCCATAAGCCGAGCTTAAACCAGTAAGGAAAGTAGTAAAGTCGGACTGGGCCGACTATATGATACCCTTCACCACTTTGGGTATATTATATATATGTAAAATTGAAAGATATATAGGGACTTTGGTGCACTAATTACATAAAAACGGACGAAAATGTATATGGGAGCTATATATAAATCTGAACTAATTTTCACGAAACTTAGCACACGTCATTCTAGCCTTAATTCAGTACGCTATGTCAAATTTCGTGCAAATCGAAGGATATATAGAGACATTGGTACACCATTTACATAAAATCGGACGAAAATATATATGGGAGCTATATCTAAATCTGGACCGATTTTCAGGAAACTTAACACACATCATTCTAGTCCTAATTCATTAGGCTTTGCCAAATTTCGTTCAGATCGAAGGATATTTAGGGACTTTGCCGCACCACTTACCTTAAATCGGACGAAAATATATATGGGAGCTATATCTGAACCGATTTCCAGGAAACTTTACACACATCATTCTAGACATAATTCATTACGCTATACCAAATTTCGTGCAAATCGAACGATATATAGGGACATTGGTACACCATTTACATTAAATCGAACGAAAATATACATGGGAGCTATATCTAAATGTGGACCGATTTTTCCCAATTTCAATAGGGTTCGTCCTTGGGCCGAATAAGTGACCTATGCCAAATTTCATCCAATTCGAACCATAAATGTGACCTGCACTTTGTTTACAATTTAACATGGACAGACAGACATACAGACGGACGGACATGCATAAATCGACTCAGAAAGTGATTCTATGCATATTCTCAAAAGGAACCATCGGTCTATCTCGATTCCTTTTGCCTGTTACAAACATATGCACAAAGACATAATACCCACTGTACCACAGTGTGGTGAAGGGTATAAAAAGATTTCCAGACGCGTCGGTCCTTTGCGCAATTTTTTCAAATTGAAAGACCATGTTTGGCAATTTTGTCTTCCATATAATTTGTGGCCTGCGACTTTTGCGTAAACCATCAGCTGATTCGCTTTTATATGTTTTTGAGCGGGGGCATCCTCATCCATTCGCAAAACACGGCCTTGCCATCGTAGTCGCTTTAGTTCGTATTACTATGTCGTGTGTAGATGGTATAGCTCGTGGACGCTCGTCGACGCAGATCAGCTCAGATCTTTCGGATAATTTTTTTTTCTCAAACACTCCAAGAGCTGCCTCATCTGCTTGTGCAGGAGTCCATGCTTCTGATCCATACACGAGCACGAGTAATATCAGGGTCTTGTTTTAGAGTGTTAGTTTGGTCGGCCGTGAGGGGGCCTTGTTTCTATACGCTCCTTCTCCGAATTTCAAAACTGATACAATTAGTTTTATTTATGGCGATACCAAGGTATATAAAATCTTTTACTACCTCGAAGCTGAAGCTTCTCAAGTTCCACAGTTGGTCCGAGTCTACTGGGCGTCTTGCGCGTTGACTCACTTTGGCAGACTCCTTCTGAGTTTGTTCAAAGGTGGCTGTAACCGCTCTCAATGTTCGACCCATTATATCGATGTCATCGGCGTAGGCGAGTAACATTTGTTGTTTAGTGTACAGAGTGCCGTTTTTGTTCACCTTTGTGTCTCGTATGACCTTTTCCAGCAAGAAAGGTCACACGACAAACTGTCACCTTTTATGAATCCTCGTTCGGTAATAAAGGGCTCCGAGAGGTCTTCTCCGACTTTAGCTGCATACCTTGTGCCAGTTAAAGTTATCCTGCATAGCCGTATTAATTTTGCAGGAATGCCGAACGCAGACATGGCTTTAAATACCTCTGAACGGATAGGGCTGC